AACGTCACTTTAAATAAAAAAGTAGATTTCAAAGTAATTTATTTATTATTTTTGACGTAGAATACGTCTTACCTTAAGGTATGGGGGCTATGTTCAAATGTTGTAGTTGTAATTTTTAGAGCTTCACAAAAACGCTTATTGCACGAGAACTAATAAAGCGATTTCAAAGAAAAGTGTGGCGTTTCAAAGATAAAATTCCAAACCTGTCGACAGATTCATTTTTGTAAATAACCAATTCGGTTTCTGTCGTAAAAACAACGGTAAACATTGCCTTATTTTGGGGTCAATTTTGAGCCTTTAAAGTACTCTAGCAACTTATTGTTGGCATATATAACTTTCATTTTCGGGATATAGGTTCTTTGGAGCAGTAGAAATATTATCGGGTACAAATTTTATATAAATTTAACAAATATTGAGCATTTTAAGGCAAAAAATTGTTGAAAAAATTTGCAAATTTTTTTCATTACCAAAATGCTCGAAAACCGCTCAAATGATTTTGTTTTTGTTTTCTTTAATCAAAAATTCAAAAGTTTTCCTTTCGTTTGGTATATGGGAAGTATTGGTTGATATCTTCTATATATGTTTATTTTATTCAAATATATGGGCATAAATGATTTTCCATACAAAATCACCTCGTCATCATTTTGCAAACACGTGCATATGTTGGAAGTGTGGGAAGGAGACAAAAAGTATGTATGCGTATGTAATGCGGCTTTTGATAAACAGAGGCGCGCTATTTATAACCTAATCGCAGCGTGTGTACATATGTAAATACATACATACGTACATATGTTGATTGCAGTTAATGTGGATCTGTTTCTATTTTTAGTAATCTACGTATGTCTATACATACATATGTACATACATATTATATATGTACATACATATATGAACACATGTATGCATAATACGTGAAGACTTTTCGAAGTGAAACAACATTTAGAAAAAGTCCAATCCAAGAATAAAAGTAAAGGTGAGGACGTACATAGATAAAGAAAAGGATAAAGGCCAAGGTAAAAATAAACACAAAAAACAATGGTATAAAATAAAAATAAAAATAGGGCTTTCGCTTAAATTTGTAAAATTTTGGAAAAACCCTTTTTTTCTTAGTGTGTGATTTCGTTTTTGACTTGGATATGCTCTTAACCATACCACGTATTCTACGTTTAAATATAGCGGCTGTATCTCCGATACAGCCTGCAGACCAAGACGAAGGCGCTGGACTGTTCCTTTTTTTTATGGTTGGAGAGCTTTTTAAGCGATATTTATGTATATGTAGAAGCAATTTTTTGGATTTAAGTTATTGAAAGATACTGATTATCTAAATGCCGGGACTAATCCCGGGATTGTGATAACGACGGGCTTAGAAAAATGTTAAAAAAAAACATCCCTAATCCTCATATATGAGCAGGTAACGATATATGGCATAGGCCCTATGCGAATAGTTCCGCACGCAAAGCCTTCTCATCCAGCCAGATCCATATAAAGTAGGACATTTTTGAAGCTTGATTTTTGTTTGTAGATACAGGTCCCTGCTTAACAATAGCGTTCCAACCCCGAACAACTTAAGGATTTTTAGCGCAGAGTACCCGTGAATTAAAGATGGCATATATCCTCACTGTAGAATCAGGTGTAATGAAAGCAGAAAAAGAAATAAGCGACTTATATATTTCTTGTCATACTTTATTCGCCAACGTCATAGGAGAAAAGGCGAACTATAAGGCCCCGTAAATTTCATTGCAAATTTTATAAATTGATAGTCATTGATGATTACTTCAGCCACTTTAAAACTCGTCGAAGGTGTTCTTAAGATATGCATGCATGCACATTTGTACTTATATATTTAAAATGCTACCCAATAAGTAAAGGCTTCAAATCAGATAAAAATTATGTACATATATGTACCTTGAAATCGATATCTCTTAATAATAATAATAATAATAGATTGGCGCTCACACATACATATGTACGTTAGTGTTTGGCCGAGCTTCTCCGCCGATTTGTGGCGTGCGGCTTGATGTTTTCACACAAAGCGGATATATTTTAGAAATGTTAAATCTAATTAAATATTTGCAATTTCAAACCCTATTGCTTATCACGTGCTTATTCAGTGTACCTATGTATATACTCATTCATATCTGCATACATATATTTTGGCGAATATCGATCGCTTTGCACAGAAAATAAAATCATATATGTATGTACCTAATATGAACATTTGTACATTCCTACGTACCTGTACATAGTATCTACTAGCAGTGAAATGGAAACTCTGACGTAGGGTGTGTGGCGGTGGACCAAAATACTTTATTAACCCAGGCCCTACATCCACGCTTCCTTAAACACACACATAAACATATGTATAAAGTTAAAAAAAAAAGTATTTTCCCACGTTGAGTTTTGCAATGTTGCGCAACAGTGGCGCCGAACAATGGCGTCAATTGGATGGCGGCACAAAAGAAGCGCCGCCATTTGCATGCAGCATCGCTCAATAATTGCATTTGAACGGCAATTACGCACAAACACATAGCTGATCTGCTGGGCACACATGCACACATTCATATACATAAATGCTAATTTGTGTACAAATGCGTACCCTGTAGGAAAACTACAAGTTATGAGCTAGAATACTAAGTACCACTTAGGCCAATGCACAAATCGCGTTGAAATGCAAAAGTTAGTAGTTCTTAAATAGTTTAGGATGAAACGATTGAAGTGCACAATAAACACTCCTCAAATATAGGGCAAGAATAGTAGCGCTGTGATACCATATGGAATACTAATCCCTTTCGGTGCTATGAGCTCTGACCACTGTCTTATTTCCAGCTGTCTGATTCTCTGCAAGGAATTCATTGAATGGTTTGCCAAGCCTCTTCTATGATCGTGCAACTACAACATTGGTCCGATGCGTAAACCTCTCGTATGTCAAAAATATCAGACAAACTTTGCCATCCATTTTTGCCTTAAAACATAAATAAATAATACATATGAGTGTTAGTCAAGATGTTTTATATATAAGAAAATCATATGCCACAATTATACCATTTTCCCCAATTACGATCGCGAATTACCCCATTCCCACGTGCCCAATCTTAATTCGATTTGGCAGTTCTCTGAGTCTGCGTTTTGTTTTTGTTTTTCTTAGCTGTAAAGTTGATGCAAAATATTGGTTCTTCGTAAAAGTTTATAAGTTTCCGTAATGAATTAGGGATATACATACACATTGATAAACTTAACTTTTCGTTTTGTGAGCTAGTTTCGATAAATTTCCGATAAAATTAGAGACGGCATCGGTTTGTTCGTAATTCGGATGGTAATTGAATCTGAATTACCAACAAATGGTATGGCGTATTAAGTAATTCGAAGAGAAATTGGAGTGCGAATTACAAATGAGAGAGCAAACTACGTAATTGGGGGGTGCCATATTAGAGAGGATTCGAATAGTATTTTCGACAATCGGCACGACTACTTTTACATTGTACGATTAATACTATTTTGCAAATTATTTAATCTAAATTTCTAATAATATTATTAAGCTGAGGTACATATTTCACAATAACTAAGGCTTATTTAATTTGAAAACCTCAACCACCTCCAAGCCGACTTGAATCTGCGTTCTCAGAATGAGAAGGCGTAGCAGTCACGCAACGTCACACAGTCGATATTCGCAAGAAGGCAATTACATACATACATACGTTGCAGTTTTCACAATTTGAAGACAGATAACGCCTAGCTGCGGTGACCATTCGTACCGATATTGGCGGGGCAGTATCGATTTTGAGAAAATTGTCACGCTGAATATTTTTTAAAAGGCGGGACACGATTTTTTATATTTATACCAATTAAATACCGATATTCAGTATTTTCTTTATGAATTTAACAAGAATCTCCCTGTATTCTGGTCCAAAAACCATTTTCGGACAAACGTGGCAGCACTTTCGTACTTATTTTCTATGATATATGGTTATGTTTTATCCTGTAAAACTGGTATTCTCGTTATATCCTTGTCTAAATTTAGTTTTAAGGCTTTCATAATTATTTTTTAAGTTTTTTTATAAAAAATAATACTAACTCCCCAAAAAATGCGTGGATATGAAAAAAATAAAAGCTGTAGATATATCGCACGTTTGAAATATAGAGATGTAACTGAAAATTTACTTTTTTGGATATTTCATTATGCAATTAATAAGCTTGATAAGTAGAATAGCCTCCGCCTAACAGATGACTTCATTTCCCAAAAAAGGCGAAGATATGTGTCTTTCCATCTGCCTTTTGATACACCAACTGCATGAATTCATCAAACTTTGTTTGTGTTTTGCCAAAAACCTGAAATTTTTAAATAATTCGTTATATTATTAAACGTGCGATATGGTGTCTATACATTTTTGTGTTTTTTTTCTCTTTTTGTTTTAAATAAAACTCCTTTAAAATATGTTAGGTCATTTTATTATAAAAAAAAAACAAATTTATATGTCTGGATTCGATGCTTTAGAAATGTCCCAATTTTTGTTCGCAGAAATCTGGTCACCGTACGCTTAGCGCATTACCGAACTTTAGGCCTCCATTCATGAACTAGTTTGGCTCTTCACTGCAGGGTCTTTTGCACGTTTCTTGCTGCAGCGTGCTTAATATTTTGTTGTTTTCACACATACCTTCTTCACATTTAGGTTATTATAACGCGATTTTAATGCGCATCCATAACTCATACCACCCGTAGTGCCAAGGCTTGCATACATACATACATACATACATATGCAGATCAATACCTACAGGCAGGCAAGAACTTATGCACCTAGTTTTGGTTGCCCTTGCCACTTGCAGCATTCCCAGTTCCGTTTCCGCAGGCGGCCATGTTGCTGCACTCATCATGCCCTTCCATTCCATATCCCCCATCATAGCACTTTACCAACAGAATGAACGCCCACATTTTGTTGGCGTCACACAACGCTGAGCACTAAACTAATTAATTACTCCCCATATACTTTGCTCCACAGTTCAATTGCATGCAAAATGACGCCATCTCTCTTCCAAATGCTGCTATTGGCTGCTGCCTCGATAGGAATAGCGCAAACGCGGCATTTACTCGCCAAGGAATTGGCAAAACACCAAGTGACGTCATCACTGGGCACAAGGGTTGCTAGCGTTGAAACGCAGAGCATTCTCAAATATTACAACAATAACAACACGAGCTTTGCGGTAGAGGGCGCAAACGCCAGCTCAACACAGCAGCCGCAGCCGCAGCCAGCATTGGAGCATCCAAGGCAAAGACAATTGAGGCTCGAGGACGACGGCAACGGCATCGCTTTGACTGTCTACATCAGATCGCCGAAGAGTGTAGTTCAGGACTGGAGTTTGGTGTGCCAGCAGCTCTGCGGGTAAGTCTCAAAGTGACAAATAGTTCTGTAGGAATAGAAGGAAATTTCACTTCGGAGTGCAGTAAATTACATAAATTGAAGTGATACGGAAATTTTTTTTTTTCTTAATTTTACGTGTGTGCTTTTGTGACAATATGAAAAGCTTTATAGATTTTCAAAAAGGGCAAATTTCATATAAAAGCGATATAATCTTTTGTAACTGCCAATATAATAAAAGTTGCTCAAAAAGTGTCTGCAAATCCAAAAACTATGTGGTCTAATGCTTATCTTGGTGTGTTCTCTCGCATTTGCAGAGCTGGCCTGGGCGGTCCGCCGTGCGATTCCCACTGCCACAGCAGCGAGGAACCGTCGCTTCTACCAGCGTTTTCCGGCTACAAACAAAATATTTGCAAGGATCTTTGTAGACTACAGCTCGGTGAGTGATTAAACAAATGAATATATATTTTATTACATCCTTTAGTCATTAAGTATACACCAATTAATATAATTTACAAAATATAAACAATTTAATTGTTAAATTTGGCAAAGGCAAAATTGTGTAAGCAAGTGTGCAAAGATTTCATCTACAGATATTTATAGCCTCAGTTACGCAATGTGGTTTACATTGCAGGTAGTTATAGACCAACTCCAGAAAAAAATTAAGCTCAGTTTTTCTAAAAACCCAGTAAAAAGTAAAAAAGTGGTTCTGTTTTCGATTCGGATCAACAATTTTTGGTGAATTAAGGTTCGGTTAATTAGTAGAAAAAAGCTGTTAATCTGGTTTATGTCCATCACATTATTTCCCAGCTTATGTATATTCTAGACCTGTGGGTGTGTGGAGTAGGCAGAAGTGTTTACACTAAGGCAATTGGTTCAGTTTTATTATTTTTACGAGATTATTTTGAAAACCGCTGTTTTCCTAGCAACGAAACCAATTTTTTCTTCAAGTTTTTGTATACATATACCCGTAACTAGATTTATAGATATGTTTTTCAAATGGCATGAAATATATTCATCCTAGTAAAGATTGAGGTTGGTTTGGATTAAAGGGTTATGAGAGAATCAGCGCCATTTTTTAACCGATTTCGAAAATGGAGGAGGTTATCAGTTCGTCGGAATATTTTTTTGTATGTACGTTACCGCATAACTTTGGACCACGTTCACCAATTTCTATAACTCTTTTTTTTTTTTTTTAAAGAAAGGTGGTACCCTTAGAGGTGGTCCCATACTAATTTGGTTTGGGTCCGATCATTGGATCATGAAGAAATTAACGGTATTCCAAAATTTTTTATATGAGATTTAAAGTCGGTTTTGTTTTTGCTAACAATTATTTGTTAACCTAAAACTATAGAAAACAATTCTAAAAATTAAATGGGTAGCGGTAATTCAAATAGAATCACGCGTTATTTTGCCAAACTGCACGTATATGCATTATATATATGTACGTATGTATGTACATATCTAGAAAGAAGAATCCACAAGCAGAACTCTCAGCAAAGTTTGTGCGTACGTGCATACATATTTCGTTATGAGGGTGGTTCGCAAAGACTGCTCAAAGCGATTCGTTATAGCGGCAGGAGGTTGGCTCGAAGATATCGCTCGCCATAATTTCATACAGGTAGTGTATGAAAATAGTGCTTTAGTGGCTGTATGATTCCCAATATATATGTAAATGTTTGTTCGCTCACTTGACGGATTTATTTGCTTCAGTTATAGTGAAGCTCAGCTTCTACTCATTCGTTCATTTTGGAACCGATCGTGTAAATGTACGTTGTATTATCTACTGCATCAGATATGAAAAATATATGCACATTAGTGTCGTCCACAAATTGTTAAGTCGGAATTTTAATGCTCTCACCCGCTAGGATTGTTCTATATCGAAAAAATATACTCCTATTTTTTATTTTCAAATCAAAAAATATTTAGGGGTCGCTCAAAGATTCCCATGTATTTGGTATGGGAAAAAACAACTTTTCTAAGAAATGGTAAAGAATTTTTCAAAATAGATATTTTTCGATCGGAAAACTTTGGTTCTCTTCAGGAGACTTCTAACAACAATACCCAATTATTTGTTTAACCATTTGTTAATACTAAAGATTTTTTTATTTATTCGCCTACTGCATTTTCTGGAATTTTTTGGGACCTAGTTTTGGCGGACCTATAAAATAGTTACTATAAAAAAATGGTTAAATAAATAATTAGGTATTATGAATGGGGGGGTGAGAGCATAAAAATTCCGACTTTACTTTTTCCCCACATTAATTTTTAGACCACCCTAATGTACATAAAAATTTTTAAAATCGCTATCATGAATCAATAGCATATCCATACAGCAATCAAATAGCTAGGCATCACTCTCTATAGACAGTTGGAAGCGAAAATTTAGAAAATCAATACACCAGCAACTTGCCTTAGTATCCCACAAGAATTTCATATTACCTTCTCCTTTTAAAATTTTCATAAACAGGTGATCAAAGTTGCAACTGCACGGCTGACGAAGCGGTCACCACTATGTCACAAAACACTACGAACTCCCAGTACGAATGGGGCAATGTAGTCTGCAACAGCTTTTGTGAACATTCCAGAGAAACATTGACCGGCTGTAGCATCTGCATGGAGGACGACGCGGAAGTGCAGGTTTCGATGCGATCCACGGTGGAAACAACAACACCAGACTGGAAGGAGTTGTGTGTCGCTTTATGTAAAACTGGCGATGGCGGGTCTTTGTGCAATTGTGATTTGGCGCCGTTTTTTTAAAGATCTAGCAGGGCGCGAGCACGGGTGGGCAACATTAAACATTCGGATGTTTGAAAGCGACCTAGCCAAAGAGACTCAAAGGGGGTCCTTGCTACCTGTGAAATGTTGCTGACTTTTAGCTGCTCTGCGAAGTCTCTTAAATGAAATTTATTTCGACGACAACACTTTATAGTTAGTATATTGTTAACTGTTTTAATTGGCTTAACTTATGTATACATACATACATATGTAGATAAACACGAAGAGGGTATGTTATTAAAGAAATAAACTACAACTCATACATACATACATACATGTGAGAATAATTTATGTTACAGACTTACAGAAATTGTAACTCAGTTAAATTTTCATGGTTAGAAGAAACCTTAGCCAATTCAAGTTGCTTTTGTTTCCTCAGTTTATGCAGTACATAAATACATAAATATGTAAAGCCCAGAAGGTGTGGCAAGCGTTGCATGAGAGTGAGAAAGTAGACGTGTCAAATTAAAATAAAAATTGAAAAAAAAACTAAATCAACTAATCCCTATGCGAATCAATTAATTTATAATTAATTTGAATTATAGTTAAAGGAAAGAGAGAGTTTAACTAAGTAACAAAAATATACTACAAAAACAATTATAGACATAAAGCTGCAGTATATACTAGAAGAGACGTAGACGAATATACATATATATATACATACAAACACATATCCATGGCTAAATGCTTATATACATACTACATCTATACATACATACATATATAAGGTGCTTTCCATGCATAACATACATACATACTTACATAATACAAGCAGGCAAACAAGCACTTAATTGCATACATACATATCTAATCCAGAGTTGTCGAGTTTTTCTGTTCAAGTTGTTGTTGCACAACTTTCAAACGAAACTAACAAAGAAAAAATTTGAAAAAAAATACAACAACAAAATCACCAAAGGGCTTCCAGGATGCCAGCCTGGAATTTTTGAGTCTTGTCTCTTTAGGGAAAGCAAAAATCCAGCTGGCATACAAAACTCAAAGTGTAGAGTGTAAAAGTAGGTTAATAAAACTAAACGTGTTAAAAGTGCGATGATTCGAGATTTTGTGCAACAGTGAAAACAAAACACAAAAAAAAAAAAACGAAAACAAAAAGAAAACACTAAATTATTATTTGAACTTTTTTAATGGTTTTCATTGGATTGGTACAAATTTTTGGGCGTTTCTCTTAAACTTGAATAAAGGGGGAAACTCGAGACTCGACAAATATTACATGCCATGCCACAGTTTCGAGCTTTTTGAAATTTTCGAAACATTTTTCAGTTTAAGGGAATGACTTAATATTTTATTTGTGTTCAGCAACTATCTGAGACGGTAGATTATTTTACTTTGGTAAAAAATCAAAATAGATTACAGCAACTAATTTAAATTTTTACAAATTTTTTTAATTTATTTGCTAAAAATATTTTAAACCATTCTATTACGAAATTTTGCACATATAAATATGTATAAAAAAGTATCGAAAAAAAAATGTATAATCAAAAAAATAGGTCTATTATTTTAGCCAACCAGCTGGAGTAAGCTTAAATCCAATAAATAAAAAACAATTTTGTAGTACTATTAAGCTACTTTGGAAGACAAAAAAAAAACAATAATTATAGTAAGTAGGAATTAATGGAAATCAGAAAATCGTTTTGGAAGACATTTTTCATTTTTACGATAAGTAAGCTTTTCGGAAAACATGTGAATTTTAAAATAATTGTGTCATTATAAATTTTGGAAGACAAAGCCGTGAACTTGAAAATCTTTGACCCAAGCAACGGTAAAACTTGTATATTCATACACTCATAGAAAAAAAAGCTTAAGGGGGATTACACAAAAAATATTAACGTAACTTAGCCAAATTATTAAAATATCAAAAATATATATGCGTACATATAAATAAACAAAAAAACGCAATTCTTATAAATTTTAACCGTTAAATGTATAAAAAAAAACAAAAACAAATTAAAATTTTCATTTCACTTCGATGAAAGCTCAAACCAATAGGCACGCAAAGCTTTCCGCCAATTGCCGCGATTACGATCCAGCAGGCGGAAGAAGCAAAGCGGGTGTTTTAATTTGGCTTAAATCTACGCTGTGACTGACAATAAAGGCAAATTCTTGAGGCGAACACACTCCACACACGGCTTTCATAGCCAATGTCCGGAGGAGGAGGCGTTTGCAGAGAATTTCCATTTCGACATAGCGCAAACTAATACACACACAAATACCCAATAAACATAAAAAAAAACTATTTAAAAAAAAATGTGTAAATGTTAGCTGCATATGACTAAGTAAAGTAAGACAACGCATATACTTCTATGTGAATGTAATAAGTTTTTAAAAAATCATTATTTAAGCAGATCACAACAATGGCATTCAAAGCAAAGAGCAAACGCAATAACTTAGCATAAATCTTAAATGTAAAAAAAAAGAGAAAGTACCTATTTACATAGCAACCAACCCATTTTTGATTTCAAAAATTTTGTTAGCGTTTGTCCACAATTTTATGGAGGCAAAGTTTCAGAGCACAGCCAAAAGATAGTCGAGCAGCAATTTTTGATGTCGACAACATTTTATGACCCAACCATTTACTGGAATGTAGCCAAACAAAAAAAAAAAAAACAAAAATGAAAATTTAAAGGAAATTTAACTCTTAAAATGCACACTCAACACTAACTTAACTCATTCGTTTTCAATTTCAGTAACTTGTATGTATGTCAAAAATTGTATTTTAAAGCACTTAAACAAATCCCGAATGCACGCACCCTTTATCCCGATATAATATATGTACTATATGTAAACTTATGTATTAAATCAACAAAAAAAAATATCATTTTCACTTTAATTATGCACTTTGTCTGTTGATTATAGTAAATACATATGTATGTAATTGAAAAATGAATGTATTTGAACTTGTTGTAATTGTATTGTAATCTAATTGTAGTTAACTGCCATTCGACTTTGTTTTTCTCTCGAAAGAAATCGTTTAGTCCGAAGCAAGTCAACTTAGTTGTTGTCCAAAGGAAGTTATCTTCAAATTAATTATATTATCTTTAAAAGCAAAAATAAATAAATAAAAACTTTATAAATACATATGTGTGTGTAGCTGATATACATAATAAAAATAAAAGTCATGCATATGTATAAAAAAATAATTGTCCTTTTTGTGACTACACAACACAAAACTAGGCAAATGAAGAGAGGCACGAAAGGAGGAGTGTTACGAAAATCTGTTCGCCTATTAATTCATATACAACAAGAAAAATATATATAAAACGAGTAAAAGTTAATAAACAATTACATAGTTGAATGTTGTGAAGTCAGATGCACTGGTTGTTTTTTTTCATTTCTTATTAGCGTTTATTGGTAAGTGTTTTTACAGTGTGTACAGGGTGGTGCCACCAACCACATTTTGCTCAAAATTTGTTCGCAAACTTATTGACGAAGGTAAAGTAAAGCCACTTGGGTGTCACTTGATCAATGAACGAAGAAACAAGTAGATCATCCGACGAGCCAACATTGACTCGGATCGCCACCTTGTTGCAGCCAAGGTCCGCATGTGCGCCTCTGTGCAATGAAGAACGTGCGTCAGGCAACGCGACAAATGTTCGACGTCGAGAAGATGCAGTCACAACAGACAGCCGAGAAATTTGGCAATCGACTCTCAATTCTGCTTAAACAAGAAAATGTTCATCGCGAAGGGGCAATTCATCTTCCAATCTCTTCATGCCGCCCACGCAGGAATAGCTGGTATGACCAAGAGTGCCGTGCTGCTGCTGCAGAGAAATACGCAACATACAATGCCACCCAGCGGTCAATAGCTATGCGAGCGCGAGTGGAACGATACCGGGAGATGAGTAGGGAGGAGAGATGTCTGTTGAAAAGTAAGAAACGAGAGGCAGAAAGACGCGAATTCGAAGAGCTTGAGATGCTTGTAGACAGGAATAAGGCTCGAAAATTCTATAAAAAAAATAAGGCAACAATAAAATTGTTTCAAGACCGTGGCTGGTTCCTGTAAAGAGAGCTGAAGATGGAAATCTGGTAACAGAAGTCCATGGTACACTTGACATGTGAAGTGAACACTACTCAACGCTTCTGAATGGCGACACATGTGGCGCGTTTGATGATGAGGAACCCGAACCAATGTATAGGGACGAAGCTTACGTTCCTCCACTTGACCAAGATGAGGTGAGAACAGCAAACAGGCGGCATAAAAACTACAAGGCCCCCGGAGCTGACGGTATACCGGCTGATCTGTTTAAAGCCGGCGGCGAAGTGCTGGTAGAGCGCATGTACCAGCTATTAAGCAGAATTTGGTTTGATGAATACACGCCCAGAGATTGGCATCTCAGTGTACTTTGTCCAATCCACAAGAAGGGAAATCACGCCTACCGACGAAGATGGAATGACGTACTGTACGAGCTTTTTAACGACATGAACATGGTTAAGCGATGACGGCGCGCTTCGGGGAAAAGATCCTTTGACTTCGCACCCATGCGTGGACGACGAAAGCAGGGTCACCCGCGAACACGATGAAAGGACCAAGTGCATAGAGTGCGGACAGGTCCACTTGGGATGAACAACTGGCGCAAATCCACAAAGGAGAGAGGCAACTGGCGAAGCTTTTTGGTCACGGCCCAAACCGACCAACGGTTATGGTGCCGAACAAGAAGAAGAAGAAGAAAGTATGGGCTGTCTAAACCGAGTAACGCAAGTATGTGAAACTTAATTTAAAAACAGTTTTATTGAGCTTTATGCCGCTATTGGTTTTTAGGAAAAATTATTAAACAAAAGAAATTAGGAAATTTTGTAGTTGCCATTTCGTAAGACTTATTTCCACACTTCAGCAGGTGAGCCTGTTAAGCGCTCAACGAAGCACGCTTCGTAAGCTCTCGTTACTTATCCATTTCCTTATACATCCTACCTATTTTAAAAATAACAAATTCCATCTTTATCATCAGCATGTGTTTGTAAAAAATTCGAAATTAATGGGAAATAGTGATGTTTCTAATGAGTGTTTGCGGTCACGAACCCCTGTGTAAAAATATCGGCAACACAGAAAGTGAATTCTACAAAATACATTGGGCGTCAAGAGAAAAGCTTGAATAACTTCATCTCCGGCAATTTTTTTTCTGCAAATAATTGTTAATGGAACATACAACAATATTAGTCCAATACGCGATTTTAAAGCCATCGAGATGTAAGTACTATTAAAAAAATTTTCATAACTTTTATAAAAAAAATTTATGACCAAATAAAAAATAAAAATGGAAAGAAACCATCATCATTCTTAATTTTTTTAAAAATTAACAGAATCGTTATTACCAATCGCGAGAGAACAAATAAAATCCAAACAATTTTGAAAAAAGTCAATAGCTATAACTTCCAAAATAATTCGAACTTCGAAAAATTGTGAAACTTTTCTTTTATCGTTGTGAGGCATAAACAGCAAATTGCACAAAAAAAGCTCGACCTTGGAAAAAATGGTGGCCCAATTCACAAATTTTTACTCGTAGTGTAATATAAAGTTTAGTAAATATGAAAAGTTAAGAGAGTACAGAGAGAGTGAAGACCCGTGCATACTCACCTCCCAAGAACCACTAATACATACATACATATACTTATATGTACATCCATATGTAATAAAGATAATTAAAAGTTTTCAGTAATATTGACTTAATAAATAAAAGTAGTCTTAGAGAACGAGACACAAAAGTTAACAAGAGAGAAAATAGCTCTCTGGGATTCCGCCACCTCCAGCACGCTAGCGTGATCGATAAGCAGAGTGTAAATGTTAGGCCTTCAAGTTTAGCTCTGTTATTTATCGCTGAAGTGGCGATCGACCAAGTTGTAGTGTTTACCCTCGCTGGCGCCTCATTAATTTTGGCCATAATTTTAACCGAATTCAAAGAGGATAATAATAAATTAGTGAAAGATTCAAGTGGATATAGCGTTGGAAAGCAGGGCAAAATAATGACCAGCTTCGTCAATGTACCAGAAGGAAGTGATTTTCCACTAGAAAATCTGCCATATGGCGTATTCTCAACAAATTTAAATGTAAGTTATCCCTAAAATTTTAATGGCTATTTAAACTACAAAAATATTTTAGAGAAATATTTTGAAATATGTAACTGAATTGTTTTCGCTTGTCCTGCTTGACCTGTTGACTCCAGCAGTACTGAAGGGGTGTATTATGCGGGCATCTACGTTTATTTTCTTTGCCCTAATATTTATGAGCATTTTTTTATCTTTTCAGCCCCGCAAGCGTATTGGTGGAGCCATCGGCCAGCATGTGCTCGATCTTGCCGGGGTAGCAATACATTATCCACTCGAAGTGCAGGTATTTTCCAAATTTTAATTTGAGGTTTCAATTCTATTGGAATTTGTTATCCATGATTTCATCAGGATGCGCTCAACTCAGATTCGTTCAATTTGCTGAGATGAGTCTTGGTCACTCGGCGTGGAGCGTAGCGCGGAAGCGAACACGCGAGTTACTGCTTAAGGGTTCCACACTGGAGGAAAATTTAGTACTGGCTGAAAGGTATGTGAAATTTGCGCTCCCTCTTTTATAGTTCACTTAAAAATTTTAAATTTTTTTTCATTTAAAGCGTTCTTTTCCCACAAGCGGAGTGCGAGCTGCATCTGCCAGCTAATATCGGGGACTACACGGACTTCTATTCGTCCATTCATCATGTAACCAATGTGGGCATCATGTTCCGTGGCAAGGAGAATGCATTGATGCCGAATTGGCGCTACATACCAGTTGGCTATCATGGACGAGCCAGCTCCATTGTGGTCTCCGGTACACCTATTGGACGACCTTTGGGACAAACTTTGCCTGTGGATGGCCAACCACCTGTTTTCGGCCCCTGCAAGCTCTTAGACTTCGAATTGGAGGTGGCGTTATTTTTAGGCGGCCCAGGGAATCAGCTGGGTGAACGAGTTTCAGCTGATGATGCGTGGAAGAATGTCTTTGGTTTTACGCTGATGAATGACTGGAGTGCGCGCGATATACAGAAATGGGGCACGTATTCGTTTACAGCCAAGAATCTGGGAACCACCATATCGCCATGGGTGTGCCCGTCGCTGCACTGGAACCTTTTTTAGTGGACAACTTTCCGCAAGAACCAGAGGTTTTCCCTTATCTAAAACACGAACGCCCTTTCAACTTCGACATACATTTGGAGGTGTCGTTGAAACGTAATGCCACTTAGTGTTCGACACTAACATTGCTATAGTAAAATTTACACGTTCCCCTTTTCATTTTATTTCAGCTGAAGCCAATGCAGGGACAGTGATTAGCAAGTCTAACTATAAATATCTGTAGTGGACAGCGCTGCAGCAGCTTGCCCACCACACGTTCACCGGTTGCAATGTTCGTACCGGCGATTTAATGGCATCTGGCACCATCAGCGGTGAGTCGGAGGACTCGTATGGATCCATGTTGGAACTAGGTTGGCGCGGTTCAAAGACTATCAGCTTAAGCGGTGGCGCCACGCGAAAATTTCTACAAGACGGAGACGAGGTGATTATTCGTGGGCACTGCGAACGAAATGGTGTGCGAATTGGATTTGGTGAATGCGCCGGAAAGGTCTTGCCTGCCATTCCGCTTTGAAGAGCTCAGTTCACTTTCGTCAATTTTTATATGTTGCTTAAAATGTAGTAATAAACACTTTTATTAAATATCTATTTACATAAATATATGTATGTTGTGTATACACTTGAATACTCTGACAAAGTCAAATAATCGGGGTTACCCTGAATAAGACACCAAGTGGGAATTCTCATCTAGAGAAAACTCTTAGCAAAGCCACCCGAGCCAAGTGGAACTGTCAAAGACTTTTCGGTCCAACATGGGGTCTAAACTCCAAACTAATAAAATAGTTATACCGAACTATAGTCCGTCCGATTATAACTTATGCCTCTATAGTCTGGTAGAATCTGCGAGATCTCCGACGATATGCCAAAGGAAATCTGCTTTGGAAGGAAATTGCAGGTCAAAATTCCAGACCTATATATCTGGTGAAATGGTTTACCACAATTAGATCCCAGATATATACACTGGTACACAGACGGATCAAAGATGGAGGACAGAGCGGGAGCCAGGCAAAGGGCTTTGACACTATTCAACTCTTGTCAGCAAGGAACACGGTATTACTATGCTGGGTACGAGGACATTGCGGGAGGCACTCTTGAATTCAGCCTTTTGCTTGTTAAATTGGAGTCGAGTTTAGGATTTGAGGGCAAGTAAAGACGAGTGCTTTAATAATGTAACGTATTATTGCCCCCAATATGGAATTCACTCGGATTAATAACTATGCAAATTCACGCATGGCTTCGTAGAGCCATCTTCTTTTTTTGCTGCAGACTGTAGCTGTAAAATCGGAAAAAGGTGGTGTATATACATACATTGGTTTATCGAAGGCATTTGCGGGATACTAAGTTCTACTGATAAGGTTGTTGTTGTTGTTGTAGCGGTCGGTTGATATCTCAGTCGTTGTCGTCAAGTTCCTCTAACGGCATCCCTATGAAGCGTGCAGCCTCAATAGGGTCGGTCCACAGGGGCAGCGGCGTTAGGATTGTCGGGTTTTCCGGGCATACGAAGAAATGTTTCGAGTCATGAGGTGTCTGTCCGCATGCCGGACACTCATTTGGTATATCTGAGTTTAGTCTCCTCATGTATGAGTTTAACCTGCTGCAGTAGCCAGAGCGAAGTTGGGCTATTGTGGTTGTAGTCTTCCGACGCAGATGAAGCTCCGTCTCGTCAGTGTCCGGTGGTTGTGCGCCTAGAACGGCATTCACAGGTCTGGAGTCTACATAACTCGATACTGACTCCCTGTGAATGCCGTTCAGGGCCTGTCGATAAGCTGACGGGTCCAGAGGTTCGTAGAGATGCCTCCTGACGTGGGCGAGGGCTCGTCTGCAAGCAGTTACCCATTAGGGTGACCACGTCTATGGCTTCCAACAAGAAACTGCTTGCAGAGCATTGTGTTGTGTTCTTTGACCGGGAGCAATTTCGCCTCGTCGTCCAGGTGGTGTTCTGGCGACATCAGAAGGCATCCAGTCGCTGTCCGTACTGCGGTAAGGATAAGATCGAATCCGTTGGTTGATGAGGCGATTTAGCTTTTTCCCAGACTCATCCCTAGGGCCTCCTAAGGACTATTGAGAATATTGATAGTTGGCGCAAAGAGCAGGATCTCCCTTCTTGTGCATTTGCGAAGTTTACTGAAATTCCAATCTTCAGGCATATATTCATCAGACTAAATTGCGCTTAACAGGTTTGAACAACTCAGCCGGTACTCTGTCTGATAGAGTGGAGGGGCGTTAGGTTTGTTCCTATACATATTCTTCTGCGCTTACAATCTCAAATGTACTCTGAAGTCTGTTACTGAATATCCCAAATGAGAAGAAAAGTTTTATCAAGACGGAAGTACAGATGGAGATAAACGAAGTCAATGTTATTGTTAATTCCGAAATCTTGTCTAACCGATAACCGGTTCATTTCTGCCGGAATTGCTGTATCTGATGGTGGACAAGCTTAAAAGCGCGCCTGAAAGTTTTCTTTTTTCAAACTTTTACTTGCGACAGGGTGACTGCATGATGACTGGAAGCTTTTGCTGCGCAAGATTCACAGAAGCATGTATGGATTAGCAATTGCCCTTTTTAGTTGAGCACAAGCTGGTATCGAATAGATGCTTTGCGAGAGTGGACAGTAAAAATAAGAGCGAAAAGTGGCGAGATACGGAGAGCATGCATTACTGCGCCTGCTCCCAACTTACACCACACCCCTCAACTACCCGCCACATGTTTGAGTTTGCCTAAGCAAGCAACGAGCAAATTCCTCTAGCTGGCTGACTGGCTATTCAACTCCAGCATGAAATCGCTGGCACGGCAAACAGTTGAAGACGAACAGCGTCGACGAGCGCAGGCGAGCAAGTTTTAAAAAATCACTGGCGCCGGGTAATTGTTTAGTCCGACAGCAACAACAAAAAATCCAACCACAATCTATATATACATATATATATGTATACTCGCACTATAAAAGCAAAGAAAAAAAACAATGAAAACAGTGAAATAATAGCATAAAGTAATCGCACGATTTCGCATCAATAAATGCAGATAAATACGCCGCAGACGAAAGCTGAAAATTTGTATGCAAAACGCGAAACAAACGCGAATGAACCAGTAAAAGTGAGTGCAAATAGTTGAATTTTTGCAAATGCCAATTTCCTATCAGCGATTTGTTTTATGCAAAATCGATAAGCACTGTTGGCAAAATTTGTACTTTTTGTATCTACCGCAGTCCAAAGGGGTTTTTTTTTAATCTTGTTCGAATGTGAACGAAATACGGGTATACGATTTTTTTTTGAAACGTTTGGAAAAATCAATTCTTTGCTACTTCACTCGCTTGCCGACGCAGCAGTCACAGCTGTTGGCGTCGCGGTCGCGGTCGCGGTCGCAGTCACTGTCTCTGCTGCTGCCATTGCTTTTGCCGCTAAGGCTGTCTGTCACCACCACCCCGCCATGTATGCCTCGTCGTCGTAGCGTCACATTGAGTGGCACATTGTGTAGCAAACCGCCACCAGCAGACTGCAGCCAGCCAACCAACCAACCACCCACCACCCAACCGTTTGCGCGACGCTTGGTTCTTTCCCCGACCTGGGGGTATATGAACTGAGGAAAGGAAATGCCCCACACACAGTGACGCTTTAGAAGGCACCTTCGATGGTTGCAATCTGACTTTGGTTCGCAGTGCACTGTTAAGTGTGTGGTGGTCGGTCGGTCGCTGCCCAGGAGCCAGGCTCTTGAGACGAAGTCTGCTGTCGCAAATGTTGCAACTGTCGTAACGGTCGTAACTGTCGTACGCCACTAGACTGGCGCTTTAAATGACTGAGTGGCTGTCGAAAAGACATTTGTATGTGCAGACGCTGAGGGGGGTTAAGATGGCGACGGTGAAGTTAACAGCTATGTAGAAAAGTGCAATACAAAGCGGCACAAAGAAAATGTTGCAAAAGTCAAGTCGCTGAGAAGACGCACCCCACCGGGAGGCTTGTTTTCTATGCGAGTATTACACAAGCTAGGCGTTGGTAGGCGAAACAAGCGTAGACCCAAACAACAATGGGACATGCCATTGCATTTTTTGCGCGCGTGTTTGTGTGTATGTTTGTGAGTGGTGTACAATCACACACCGACAATAAAGGTAATTAAGTGACGGCGGTGCCTGAATAAATGCTACAATGTATCTACATAACGTCCATCCCTAAATTGGCGCGTCAAGCGGCAAGCAACTGTCAAAAATCCTCATGTCCATACAATTTTTATGAAGCAGCCCACAATAACGCGGCGCTGGCGCGGAGCAAGTGGAATTTTCATTTTTGTCGGGGCGTTAAGTGTTGAATTTGGATGCAGAAGACGGAAAGAAAGAGAAAGAACAAAAAAGTGAAAGAGGAAAAGAGAATAAAAACGAGTGGGAATGAGAAAACGTCAAACGTTTCGCCGCGCTGATTTGGGGATAGCGCGCGCTGACACTCGTTGACGACAATGGAAAACGCTACGCTTAGCGCTCGAATTTAGGGACGGCAGCAAGAGACAAGCGCAAGCGAAGTTCGGGGAGTATGTATGTACATTTGAGAACCAGTTTTTTAAACATAGCTTTCGCAACGCTTTTGCTTTGCATGTCAACGCTGCACACACGCTTTGCCTCGGTAGATATTGCGAAATTTCTTCTTTTGCTAATCATCTCTGGATTGCATTCGCTTGTCCCTCATTCTACACATAATACAACCCCTTGAAAGTGATTAAAGTTCATTGATTCGATATTCCAGTTTCGTTACAAAATGCAAATAAAATCACAAATATGTGAATGCAGCGCACAAATAGAAGCACCCGTACCGAAGAAACAGAAACAACTAAAAAAGGTAATCTGTTATGAAAATGTGTGCGAAGAGTGTGCAGCTAGCACCTACACAAATGTAATCATAAAATCAGTAAACAAAGAAGAACGTTCTTTGTTTTGCGTTTCGTATGAGCTTTTGTGAGCACTTTTAATTTTTTTAATGTTTGCCTTTTTTTGTATAAGAAATGTTTACATTCCAATTGGCACGAATGTGGTTCAAAGTCCACAAACTGGTAATAATTTCGCATAACTATCTTTTGGGAATGAGGGTGGCTAAATATGTACTAGAGGTGTGCCTTGTGAGTATCATCTCATATGTATGTATATAGTTAAGCTAGCTATATAGCAGTTACAGCAGCAGGAAAAGAATAGCCTTGAAATAATTTCGTCCAATATAAATGAATAATCTTTCAACCGAGATCAAATATGTAGATAGAAATCTGGAATGGAAGTGCTCTAAAGTTAAACCATTTATTGTACCCCGTGTGTAAAGATTTGTGGAGCAGCTCATCCTTTTCTACAGTTTTCCCGACAACCTCTGGAGCAATGGCCGGTCTTTTCTACTTCCATTCCTAGTAAAGCTCATACTAAGATTAAATATTCCATCTGACGATTTCTACGGAAAGCTCAACATAGTCTTAATACTAGGAAATTTCCACTCATCCAACGTGTTCTGACACCAAGTTCTCTATCAGCAACCCCGTGAGGAACAGATGGAAAAACGCCACAGGGCTAGACTTGGAATCCGACGCTATCTTTACTGAGGTTTCATGCACAAGCAAGCTCTGTGAGCTGACGCGCAAACTCTAACGATTTTGGCATAAACACCCATAGTCTGTCCGGATTTTGGAGGCTTTTGCCTTTCCGATGGCTACCCGAAATTCATCGCTGTTATTTGGTTTTAAGAGGTTATTGGTCTTATCCAATAGCTCGCGCGTATCTTCGTTTTAGAGGAGACATAATCGCAAAATGTAATTTAAATGTAATTTATACCCTACCATCGCGCTTCAGCGGTTGGGCAGGCACTTAATGGTCGACCAAATTTTACCCACACTGTATGGTATAAATGATTCGAGTTTTAGCTCACCACGGCTATACCATCTTGCGAAAAGGCTCATTAATATCCACGAAAAGCTATGCTTCGAAAGTGGACATAACTTCGGCTCAAAAGATAGACCTTGGAACTTGTCAGACTTGTTGTTTCTGTCACAGCTGCAGAACAAAGAAGAGGATAAAGTGGAGATCATCGCGCACCTTTTTTCAGACGGGGGGTATAAAAAATTAATTATTTCATATTTGTAAAAAATATTAAAAGGTAAAAATAAAACAGTATGTAGTCCTCTGACAAATTAAAAACAACAAATTGTTAATCAGAAAATATAATCAACTTATATGCTCATATAACTTACGAGTACCGTTAAAATCTTCTTGATCAAATGATCGGCACTAAACCAAATCAATATGTGACCACCTCGGCTAAAAAAATAATTACCGAAAATGGTTCACCCGAACCATAAAAAATATATATTCCTATGTATTGAAAACCTCCTCATTTTTTTGGAAGTCGGTTAAAAATAGAAATTAAAATTCCAAACTTCTTTACCTACTCCAATCCATGCTGTCACTCGCAGGTATGCATATGTAGACCGATGAGCTATCAGCAATATTATATCAATTTGTGTTATAGTAATGACTCATACGTATTTAATCTTATTCAAGGCCACAGTGGGTTCGTTTAAGCCTATATTTACATATATATCTACATAACATATTTATTATGCGTATGTCAGCTAGCACGTAAAATACCTAACTGGGTAATGATCTTTCACCGAATGCTAATGAAAAAATTAAAAAAATTGCTTATTTGATCAGCATTGTGCTTGGTTTCTATATTTTCCAGCAGTACGAAAAAATGCCAACGCCAATCTGTTGTTAAAACTCTCTTTGGAACCAATAACATAGTGAAGTCATTCCAACGATGCCTGCCCTAAAATTGCTCTGCTATTTGGCGCTCTTCGCATGGGTCCAAGCAATTACCCGTAAGCTCGAGCGCGCTTCGACATTCCTGATTTAGAATGATTAATCGCAGAAATTTTTATTTTTAGCTGAAAATCCATTCGCCTGCATGAGTTTTATGGAAGATGAGAAGTTCATTCAGGATGATGATGATTTTGAGGAGTACTCATCGAATGGCGGCGGGCAGTCACAGTATAGCGCGGAGAATCAGAACCCGCCGGATGCAGAATCCACACCTGTCAGTGAACAAGCAGCGCCACATCGACGCATTTGTCAGACAGACTACACGTTCTGCTTCGCGTTGTGGCGTCAAACCCGTAACGGCACTCGAATCGAGAAACAAGGTGGGCTACGAAGCTTTTTCTTTCGTTTCGTTCGGGGAAACTCAGAATAACTAGATGTTTGATGTCTTTCTGTTTACAGGTTGTTGGAAGGAGAGCACGGAAAGCAATGTCACGTGCCGTCAGACGGAATGCACAAGTTCGGCGCCCACATCAAGTAACAATTCTCTCTATTACTGCTGCTGTTCGGGCGATTCGTGCAACAAAAATGTGGCTGTGGTTGAGCCAGCGCCACTGCAGGTACCTATTTGCTCTAATGTCCAGTTAGAAATTTCTTACTTATTTACATTTAATTTTCGACATATTTCCCTTTCAGCTTTCAAAGCCGATTTATTCTATCGGAGAAAACATTCCGGGAAGATTTGGCGATGCCGGCTTTGGTGTTGTTGTAATGGCAATGTTTGTGCTGATTTTGTGTTTATCAGTCAGTGGCATGGCTGCCTACTGCTATGTACATAAAATAAAGGACAAGCCTATGCCTGAGGAGGCTCCACTTGCACCCTCCGGTCCCGGTTACAGTTCAAACCTACGAAACGTCGACAATATAAACTTAATTTGTATGCTCGGCAATGGCAAATACGGCACAGTGATGAAGGGTTTGTTGCACGACCAAGAGGTGGCCGTGAAAATATTTCCTGAAAGCCATTATCCGTACTACATCAACGAACGCAATATCTACTCGTTGCCTATGATGGACAGTCCTTCGCTGTTGACTTATTTTGGTAAGTACACGAGTTATATTTACATTTCGCTAGGGAAATTCGGGACTCACTTATTGCTTCTCTAGGCTATGATGAGCGTCACACAATGGATGGCAAAATCGAGTACCAACTAGTACTTTCGCTTGCCCCGCTCGGTTGCTTGCAGGATTGGTTAATTGCCAACACCATGGGCTTCGAAGCGTTCTGCAGCATGGCCAAGTCCATCACGCGTGGCCTTTCGCATCTGCATACAGAAATAAGTCGGGGTGACGAATATAAGCCGTGCGTCGCGCATCGCGATTTCAACTCGCGTAACGTGCTCGTCAAAGCCGATCGAACGTGCTGCATCGGGGATTTTGGTTTTGCCTTGAAAGTATTTGGCTCCAAGTACGAATACCGCGGCGAAGTTGCTGTAGCAGAAACAAAAAGCATCAACGAAGTGGGCACGCTCCGTTACATGGCACCGGAACTGTTGGAGGGCGCCGTCAATTTGCGTGACTGCGAAACATCACTCAAGCAAATGGATGTTTATGCTCTGGGATTGGTACTGTGGGAGGTGGCTACTCGATGCTCGGACTTCTATCCACCTGCCCAAATGACGCCATCCTACAAAGCCCCCTACGAACAGGAGGTCGGCACACATCCCACTTTTGACCAAATGCAGGCATTGGTGGTGCGGCACAAGGCACGACCCTTGTTTCCCGCAGGCTGGGGTGGGGGCTCTGCGGCCAAGTTGATAAAGGATACATGCGAGGATTGTTGGGATCATGATGCTGAAGCGCGGCTGACATCGCTCTGTGCCGAAGAGCGCATGCAAGAAGCAGCTGGTTTGCGGCCGCGCTACTCACATGCACAGTCGCCTAGTCCTTTGCTGAGCGCAAACAATTTGCTGGTGCCTGATCAGGTGGATGGGAGCATGAAAATATCCATGGATACGTGTAATTCGGAAACAGAAACGATGCTTCAGCCGCCACCAAACCAAAAGATTTTGCCGCGCGCCCAAAGTGTGGGCAGTGAGTTAGGTATCGCACCACATGCAGAGAAGAACCATCTTATTCACACCCAACAACAACTACAACCATATCAGGGACGCAACCCATGCCAAGAGCGCAACCTGGCACCAGTGTCCAATCGACCGCCCCAGATTTTGGTTGAGAAAAGCAAGAAGCACAGCTTTCAAAACGGGCAAGAAAACAGTTTTTCTTGCTTAGAAGACGACGTTTCAGTCGAAGACCTTATCTCTGGTGGTAGCTCGAAAAAAATTAACAATTTCATGACAGAGAATGCACCGAGCATGGGAGAGGGCTTTCCTAAGCAACACAATACCGATCGGAAATTGAGAGGTTGGCACGGCGTTCGGGCGCTAATACAAAAAAAACTTTTCCGCAAAAGCGACGTTGGCACCGACCTTTTCCAGCAGCAGTTCGGGTACGGAGATGAAAAGTCTAACTTGGTGGACAATCGGTACGCTGCCGTTATTAAAGGGCTCGACAACAATGGCAGCGATAGGTTGGCAAAGGCAGCAACAATTAGTTACATAGATGACCGGCACCGCAGCAATAACGGTGCGGCCACCACCAAGACCACAATGCTCACTGATGTCTACCCACATACAAGGCGACCCAACAACCTTGACTTGAGTCCTATGAACGGTTCAGCCGTACCAGTAGGAGAGTCCAGTGGCCCGCTTAATGCTCCTGTTGCTTACAACAAGTCAAATTTAATTCAAAGCATAGCGGAGGAGAGCAACGACAGGAGCGCCAAACAACACCTTCAGCAAGTAGACAAACGCACTAGCACGCCATGCCATGTGGTGCCACGTTCCCTCTCTTCTAGTCTAATTAAACACATAAACCGCAATAATAATAACGTGAGTAAAGGCGAGCTGAATACCATAAACGCTACGAACAGCAGCCCTAAGGAAACCACGCCTGCACCGGTGTCCAACTCGACCGGTCACCTCAAAGCGCCCAGCAATACAGATATCCTCTTTAGGCGGCAGCGAAGCCTTGAAATGTTCCGCGAGGTGTTCAGTGGCCGAGGCAGCACGGAAAAGCTACGAGATCCCAGTCAGCGCGTCAAAACGCCAGGTGATGTGCCGCCATCTGTGCGCAAGGTGCGAGCCTCGAAGACGCTTAGCCTATACGACGATCGGATGATGGACTCTTCAACGCTGAATATACTCTAGCATGAGGAGGTTCTGTTGCTGGAGTTGTAAGCAGTTTGGCCCCGGGTTGCCCGTCAGCTTACCATTTCAGTAGGCAGAACAGAGTGCACAATAATGTAGATGAATGTGAAAGGAATGGAGACGAAAAGAAATACTCGCGCGCGGTTTTTTCGAAGCTCATCGACAGGATGAGCTTATAGGTACTCATAGATGTAGTTGCGTTGAACGCGCGGCTCATAAGTAGATCGTAGGTCTTCGTAGTGCCACCCCTTCCATTGAGACCCTACTCTACATATGTATGTAGTATGTATTGTGTTTGTATTCAAATGTCTACGCACGTGTGTGTGCTGAAAAAACCAAAGTCCTTATAGTGTAATATTGAACGTGTTTTTGTACGAAGTTTATGTATGTATGTATGTATGTATCTCTAAAAACAGTCGCCAGTAAGCTAGTCTTAAGTTTGTATGCAGTAGTTAATGTATATGTATGTAGGCTAAGAAGCTGTGACCGATGAATGCAGCAAGCAGGGGGCAACAAAAAGCGCAGCATCAGGTCAGCCATTGCTTGTGAACGCCGGCAAATTAGTGTAGCAAAGATATTTATTTTTTATTCCACTTATTGGTAGAACATGAAGACAACTAACTGTACATCTCTAGGGAATTTTCACAGCATAGTGTTATAGTATATACATATATATGTAACTCTGTAATAACATACACATAAACGGGTAGAAAACTCTGTTGGTTTACTCAACTGTGCATCAGTAAAACGAAATTTTTTGAGATCATAGCTGTGTGGGATTAATTCAACTTAAAATTGTAGAGTAGTCTTGCGAAAATTATTTTTGGGAATACATAATTTGAAATTTTCAAGGTGTTCGAAAAATTTCAAACACTCGCACTAACTTATTTAAAAAGTTGCCGAATTTTTTTTTTTTTTTGTTATACCGCGTTATTATTAGTTCAATTATATTTTATGATTTAGTTAAGTAGAAGTGTATGTCATAGGACATATGTATGTATATTTAGGCTATTTATAATGACTAGTACGTATTTATGTATACATACACACGTATTTCATAATTTGTACCATACGCGCATAATTAGACTGTTGATAGGTTCAAAAAGTTAAATGAATTTGGAAATTGCCTTGTATTTCATTAAAAAAAAAAAAAAAGTTGTAGAAAATACATTGAAAATACAATTATATAAATATTGCATTGATGGTACTTTGATATATGTAGTAGCTATATTCCAACTATATTCAAAATGATTCCAAGCAAATGAGGTAAAAATGTTGAACGTATTCGTTTAGAAATTACATAGAACAAATGAAAAAGATCTATGTCCCAGAAGAATATAAACTGACATCACATACCATTAGTAGAGTTTTACATTAATAAATAAGTTATGCTGATAAAAATGTATGTATGTATTTAATTGAATTCCATATATTGTATTGAGACATATATTTAATAAAATAATAACAAATAGGTTAAATACACATAAATGCAATGAAAAGTGTGTTGATGCTTCATTTGGGTCAGTGATTCCCAAAGTGGCCAAGGTTGAGTCCCAGGGGTCGAAGGGGCCTCGACGGGGGGTATACGTTGGCGTGAAAAAGAAATGGAGGCTCACATGTTGTAAGTGAGGGCCCACGAAAATGTATCTGGTTCCGATAGTAAATAACAAAAATGTTGGCTTAGCTTTCCTATTTAATAGAGGCAGATAGTACCTTAAAAAAAAAATTAAGGGAGCACGAAATATTTAAAATTTTTCTGTGATTCTTGACTGGCTGTATTTTAGTGAAAAATGGTCGCATTGTGATTAAAAAAAAAAGCATTTTAAAGCTTTAGGACTCTTATTTTCAGATTTCTCCTCTAAAATAAATACTTACATTTTACCGTTGAATTGCCCTTTACACTGGCGATTTTTTGGTTAAACGACAAAAATCGACTAGGAAATCGACTCGTGTGGGTAAAGGCAGCTTTAAAACTAAAAGAGCGTTTTTCTCCCTCAATATTTACCTCACGCTCCTATGCCACTCAATATATTAAAGCCCGGTTATGCAAGACTTAGCCTTGACTTGACTTACCTAGAAGCTTAGAAACGATTACTCTGCGTGTCATCTGTCTGTTTTATTATCCTCAGTATTTGTACACGCAAAATTTTAAACGTTTAATTTGTTTGGGGTAAAATAGGATAAAAATCGCAATTGAGATAAATGTATTTAAGCATATCAAACTATTATTATTTGAAAGAATAATCATAGCTTAGAAATCAAAAATCTATAGTTCTTCAAGTTTCTGAGTGAAGTTGGTTTTTTGGGTAACTACACGCGCTGCTCATTTACCAGATATACAATTTTTAAGTGAAGTCAAGTCTAAGTCTTGCATTGCTGAGGTTTAATTAACTCCTTGCAAAAGAGCGTTTTGTCTCTTTGGCTCATCTAGCTTACACAATTCAGTATGTAATTTTAATCGTTGACAAACTTATTAAAGAAGCAGGGAGCGCAATAATTTTATTTGTGCTCTAAATTTGATTCGCCCATTGCTTAGTTGTTTATTCATATATTTTTCCAGATTCGCTCTTTTCTATATTGTCAGATTCTGAAATAAAAGTTTGGCGTAAAAAGCTGTTAGGTTTTGTGTTTTAAAAATGGGAGTGATAAATATTTTTTGTATCACTTTAAAACTCAGAGCGATGAAACTAAAAGTGATGCCGTCAATACGAATAAACTCTTTTACAAATATTTTAAAATTGAAGTGCTCAGAAAATACTATAACTCCTCAGAGCGAGAGCGTATTTATTGGCTTTACGAACTCTGCTTTAAGAAAGTCAGCGACTTTTTCTTGTAAAAACTTGTATATTCGATATAAAGTTATGTATATTATTTTTGTTGATTTGAATTGTTGAAGTTACGCTTCGTTATTTATGTTTTATTATAATTTGGTAATTTGGGGAATCTTTAGTTATTTGGCTCCAAGAAAATGGTATAAAATTTGTGTCAGAAGAAAGCGCGCGGCCCACCGAAACCAGTAACTTTTTAAAAGGGGTCTACGAAAAAAAAAAGTTTAGGAACCTTTGATTTAGATTGTCGATCGTTTGCATCCCAGTGTAAAATTTGGAATGATAGATTAACTGACGTTTACTAGGGCAGATAGCTAGTCATGGCAATAGAATGGTTAGATTACCTTAAGTACTAAATAAGTATGCAGATGTAATTGACATGTATGTTTGAAGGGAACTTTTCTGATAAATGTGTTTTGAATAGATTGTTGGAAAATCGCCGGAAAGCTATTCGTTAACAAATCGTTGAAAAAAAAATCCAGTGCAATCCATTACACACAGCAAAAAGTCAGCTAAAAATATTTTTCTCCACACAGGATTTGGTAACTTTAACCAAATAATGCAACTACAGCCAAATCATGTATTGATAGAAATTTATTTACCTGATTTTTTTCGCTGGGTGTACCTTTTTGAATGAGAAATATAGGTATATTCGCAAAACTACCTGAAAAAGGCCCCCACCCATTCAGTGAACTGAATAACAACTCCAAGACCAGGGTGATTGCATTGATTTCCCAAACCGTTTTTAGCCAGTTTTTTGCAAAGTTTTTGGGCGGATACCAATCCTGCTTTTTCAAATTGGAGCAAATCAATGTTCTTTAATATCAACCACGCAGCATTTCCTTTGGCTGCATTGGCGTTTAAAGCATACGCTTTAACACAATTAAACAAAAATGTGGCTTAAATTCATTCGATTATTTATAATACCTGCGGATTACCATACGAATGTTTTTTTTTTTATTTCAATTTTATTTTTGTTTAAATGCGACTTACCAGTAGAATATCGCAACATCTGATTCCAGAGGGGATTTGATTCACGAAATGATTTAATAAAAAGTATTTATTACAGCCATCAAACATGATATATTCGAACTGTAGGTTTTTTTTTGTCTTCCCCAATGTTATAGAACGGCGAGTTTCAGAAAAAATTTACATATATTTTGTTAATACATGAACAAGGTATATAAAGTCGGTTTTACCCGAACTCAGATTTCTTTATTACAACACACATGCATTTATTCTGAAAATTTTGCGGATATTCAAGGTTTTACCTACCTGAACGGTATATATGTACATTAGGGTGGTGCTTAAAAATCAAATTAGCGATTTTTTTCATTCTCAGCCGCTCAATCGGTAATATCACGATCACAGATATCACTTAAAAATCGTGGTCCCGATTGGAGTCGGCTAAGGCGTATCGCATAGGGATCAAAGGACAGATGCCTCTATGGAGACTCAACAAATTATTATTATTTTTTTATTTAATACCCCAAAACCAATCCAGCTAAGGTCGAAGGTATCACATATAAATTTTGGTCCCAGACGCAGTCGGTTAACACGTTTTCATTGGGTAATCTGAAGTTTGACCCCTTGTGCGATACGCCTTAACCGACTCCAATCGAGACCAAAAATTATATGTGATATCTTCGACTATGGTAAAATGGATTTTGGGTATTAGATGGGAAAAAATATATTTAAATTTTTTTAGGCTCTGTAGAGGAATCTGAACTTTGCCCCTAGTGCGACACGAAAAAATTTTCTTCCTACATTTAAGGACGACCCTAATATACATACATACATAAGTACACACATAAATATGTATGTATTTTAGAAAAAAATTTATTAATTCTTTTCCAGAAAACCGAAAAAAACCATTGAAATCACTTGTGTTTATTCCACCTAGTTACAAATCGACAATGGCAAGATACAAACACAAAGATACATTTATATAGCTTATCGTTAGTTGATTCCTAAATAAGTATCTGTTAATCTCCGCACCCATCCACCCTCGGTTTCAATTGAATGCTGACTGGTCTGCTGGGCTTATTGATTAGCAGTGTGCGCACACCCATCTTCTCGTCGTCGCCAGTCCAAGTAATTTCGAAATTTCGCATCATCTGCCATCCAAAAATTTAAAAAGATGAGATTCAAATCAAATTCAAATTTAATTCCATTGACGTACAAATCAATGCTAAATACCTCAACTCAGGCATTCACTTCGGTACTTACGCGCAACAGCAAGACGATGATATTCTGCTCGGCCATGCGACGCGCTATACACGCGCGCATGCCGTGTCCGAAAGGCAGCACCAGGTAGGGATGCACTGCTTGCTTGCGGTGCAGCCAACGCTCAGGATCGAATTTCAATGCATCGGAAAAATACTTTTCCAGCCGGCAAGCAATCATATTTTGTGTCACTACCACTGTCTACCCAGTCCATTAAACAATTATATATTACTTAAATTATAATACAACAACGATGCGTTTTCCACTTTGACTTACTCCTTTCGGCACATGATATCCACTTAGCACCAGATCCTTGTTGAGTATGCGACCCACACCCACTGAGATGGGATTCAAGCGAAAGACTTCTTTGAGCACAGCACGGGCGTATGGCACTTCTGTGCGTAGCGCATCTGGCGTTAGGAGCGTTTTGCGAGACGGCAGCACACGACACGCTTCCTCGCTTAGTTTCCGTTGCACTTCGGGGTTTTTGGCGATGTGGTATACCGCAAATGCGGTCGTATATGAGGAAGTGTCGATGCCGGCCAATAGTAAATCCGCCGCCATGCCGACCACGTCGCATAGATCCAGATTAGGGTTCTTCAGATACTCTTCAATCAACGAACTGCGCTGCATGGTGCCGCCATCAGGGTTGGCGCCATCGCTCACCTCCTTGCTGTCCTTGAAGTAGGCGAGCTTTTGGGACACCAAATCTATGGCCACGCTCTCCATATACTCTTGGGCTTTGCGCAGCCGTCGATAGATGGGCGTTTCAAAGTATCGCCACAGCGGCAAACCCTGGTCGGTGGGCAAGATGCTGCTGTTTGTTGTTTCCGCAGCGCGCATTAGTCTAGTGGAGCGCGATGTGGGCAGTTGCTCTTCGGGTGAGAAGGCGTTGAGGCGTTCGTCGAAGGTCATCAGGCACGTAACTATGATAAATTAACATAGGCGATCAAATCGAAGCGCTTAAGTTCTGACTTACGTTCCAAATTCAAGCGCGCCAACTTTGGTTGAATATCGAAGCTCTGGTGCAAGGGTAGGTGCTCTAGAAATTCTTGCGTCACCAAATCTAAGTCAGCGAGGAAGCTGCGCACACTCTTGGGTGCGCTTATTTCTTTTTGCAATTCCGAGCGTAAATGCCACCACTCCGCACCGTTACTATAATCGGAAGTGACTATCTTTAGTGGTAACCCAGAATTTGTTTGCATTAAATCGTTTAGCTCTGTATTTATGTACTCACGTTGGCAAGAGTCCGGCCGATCGGTAAATGTGCGGACGATCTTTGCGATACTTCTCCAGCGCCAGATGGCTGCGCCGCTGGGGGAACTCCCTTTCGTTGAGTAGTGTGGCAATATCATTGGGATCGTATAGCCACACTATGTCTTCACCAGGAATCATTGTTTCGCGCACAATCGAACCGTACCGCTCGTATTTGTCGCGACCCGCCTTATGCAATTCCAGCCAAGAGTAGCGTCCAATGAGCGGCAAGTATTGATAAAGAACACCTAGGCCAAAGGGGCCGCGTGGTCCGGGTATGCTGTTAAACGGTTTCGCGAATGCATTTGCAGCCGGTGGGTCTGCATTTGCCGAAAAACACCTCTTCCTCAGTGATTTGCTGATAAAGACAGCCATACTGAGCTGCTCTGCGAAAGCGTCGCTGAGTTACAGCCTGCCGCCGATCAAGACGGCTTAACGCTGACAAATGATTTTTGACTATTAAAAACATTGAAGCGCTCTATGTAGGTGTTTCAGTTTTTATTGCGAAGTTGAAGATTCGTAAATACGTTCGTACGTATGTCTATGTGTACGAATGTTAAAGAAAAATCAAAAGCTTAACAAATCTGCTGCTTTGTATTACAAAGGAGTAAAAAAAATTTGAGTAAATACTGATTTACGTGCATATGTATATATACATATATATGTATGTGTTCATTGTATACACAATACATACCTATATACAAATCGTTACTTTAATATAGAAAGGCCTTATTTAATAATTTTCTTTCTTTGTAGAGTGATGAAAAAAGTCTATAGCAAATCAACTCCGTTTACTGTGAATTTTGTTCAAAAACGATTTTACTGAAGAATGTAACTAAAATTATTCTATAGTAGGTTTTTTTTAAATGCAATAGGTTTTTAGTGAGTAATAGTAATATTTTTTACAATACATACTGGATTTGAAAATAAAATGAGTTAGGGCCTTTCAAAATTAATGAAATGTATGTTTCCCGAGACAGAGAGAGATGAGAACAGAGATAAGTGTAACAGATTGAAATCCACATTAAGTCCCACTTAAAAATTTGTGGAGCTCAGTGCCGTTTTAGGCTGGGCTTACCATCCACTTAGGCTGGTGGTAGTGACAGCTGCTCAAACGTTTACTTGTGTGCATATTGGAAGGCATATTCACAGATTTGATTTCTTGACAAAGAACTATATTTTTTTCTTAACTGCGGATCCTCGGCAGACAATGGCAAACCTCCAAGTGTAGTTCTGCCATGAAAAAAAGCTTTTCATAAAAATACAATTGCCATTATTATTATTACGATTCAGTAAAAGTCAGAGAAAATAACACCCATGGAATTTATTTCATTTTTATGGAAATAAAGACCAAGGGCGTTATTGCCATTTCGCAAATGAAATAAAACCCGCGGCTTTATTGTCTTTTATAGGTGAGCAACAACACCCGCGGGCTTCATTTCTTTTTCTAATGATTAACGACTACATCTCGAAGCTTTCTCAGCCGCGGGGGTGGCTTCATTGTTCTCATGTGCTGACGGCTGCTCGATATTGGATTTCGGAAGAGGCATTGATGACCTGTGCTTGCTTTTAAAGCAATCGAATGTCTCTTTGAACATTCTCGCTTCTTCACTGCAAAAACCTACCAACGGTACATCAATCTGAAAGTTAAAGTTAAAGCTGGTTCTCCTTTTGTGCGCACCCAACCGCAATCGTCAAATCGCACTTGGGACAAAAATAATCTTTTCCGCGCCATCCTGAAAGCTAACAAATATTAGCAATAATCTCTGTGCACTCAACTACAGCCACAACTTGTAAATAGGTTTTCAAATGTTTTAAAGATTCGTACATTTTGATAGTTACAGGGTGGTGTTGTTTGTTAATTTTTTTTTTTATTGAGCTGATCTCATTCTGTATAAAAATTGCTAGACAACACCACTCTGTGATCGATCAAACAAACTTTTCACAGTTACAACAGAGTGGCGTTGTTTGGAAATCTTTTATTGATCTGAACTGATTCTTAATAAAAATTTCTAGACAATACCACTCTGTGAGATCAAGCAACCTTATGTTTAAGTTTGTTTAAAAAATCGGTCCTGTTATGGTTGTCGACTTCTACGTCGATGTAATGTTTTCATTAAAAAATAGCTCTTGTAAGTCCAATTCCAGCTACGCTGACCATAGTCTTTCTGCGAGGAACACCTTTCCGGTAAAATACTGTGGTCAGCGTAACTAGAGTTGGACGCAAGATGGCTATTTTTTTATGAAAAAATTAAATCGACGTCTAGGTCGACAACCATAATAAGGTCGAATACTTTTTCGAAATAAAAACTTTGAATTTCTAAAAAAAGTTTTTAATAAATACCAGTTACAATTCGGAGGCAGCGTAAAATTCTCGGCCTTTTATTTATTTATGCGACGACAACGAGGTGTACTCCACAAAGAGTATCCCCCAAATACTCTCAGCCAAGCAGTTACGAGAAACAAGTAAATAGGTCCGTATGTTTATATTTATTTTCTCTAGACTCTCAGAGACTTTCAGCGTGGGGATATTAAGAGCATTCAGGGAAAGGATTGGTGAAATGTCCGTTGACAATCAAAGCGCCCTTCCGGAACTGAGTTCATTCTTCCGGAGTTCATTATTAATACCATTATCTATCTATAATAAGTCCATAATGGACAGTCTGCCTCCATTTGAATCAGGAGTTATTTTAATGAAGCTTAGCCAAAAACTTTACATATTTACTTCTATTAGAAAATAAATTTTCCTTTCAATAATAATCAAGTTTTCTTTATTTTAATAACCAAAACAAATAATTTAGCTTACATTAAATAAATTTTTAACACTGAACTTTTAAGACGCGCCGCTCTAACACACTTACTTAACCAACTATTCATACACTTTTATCTTAGCAAAAATCTCATTCACTTTTCTTTTTATTTCCGTTTGCCTTTTTCAATTTGCGCTTTGGATCCGAGCTTTTGTCTACCTTAACAGTTGGTGCTTTGGCGCCAAAGTTTTCCTTTAGTTGTTTCAGTACAACAACACAGTTCAGCAAGAACATGGCTATCATAAAAACAAGCACCGATACAGCATCTAAAGAATGAAGAGCAAAGAAGCTGCTTTCAGCCGCTGCCTGCGAGAAAAGATATCCACTTTCGATTGGATGCTCCAGCACATATTCTATCCACCACAATGCCACATCAAGTGGGTTCTGCGGCCGACCGCGAAAGGCAATCTGTCGAGACTTTGCATTCTCTTCAAATGTTAACTCCATAGTTATAGCACTTATGGCATTACGAAGCGTTTCCGAGCCAGTACTGATATCCACACTGACACCGAAACCCAATGCCACAGCGCGTCGAGCAGTCTATATTAGGGAACGTATGATGAGTGGGAATGATACTCGAAAAAAGTTATATGCAAGTAGGTCTTACATTTGGCTGATTGTATCCATTGGATACACTGATAATAGGTACTCCATGATAAGCTGCTGCTTGGACTTCCATATGACTGCCAGTGGCAATTAGACCTTTCACCTTACGTTGTGCTGCGTATTAGATATGGATGATAGTTAATTATTTTAGTAAAAACTTTTATAGCAAAAGGTTTAAGTGCTTCCGGCCAAGAAATAAATAATGCATACCCAAGATATTGCTTCTCTTCAACCATTTGCCCACAAAGAGATTTTTCCTGCTGCTCCAGGACAGGATGACACTCTTATCTACTCCCCATATGAAACCATATTCTGGAAAACTATCTATCGTGTTTAATAATGCTTCGATGAGTTCGGGTGTCAGCTCTTTAAAATTCCCTTGGATGCCGAGCGTTACAATGAAGACACCCTCCTTCGAGTTGTCAATGAAGGTTTGCATTTCCACTGACAGCGGGCGATTGATATTATCGAAGTGTAAGCCACCCACTTCGATAACATTTGGCGGCAATGCGTGTATATAGTCGATGGCCGGATGACTGTTGACCAAAACCACTTTGACGCGTTCAATAACGCCTTCCAGCGTAGGTTCTATGCGCGCTTCCTGTAGCTGCGCGCTCTTGGCCAACATTGCCTCTTGAACACGCTCCGAAGTGAAGTGACGAAAGCTGCAAGTGAGTGAGAGTACAGTTTAAGTGCTAACGTTTGCTCACTCATAAATATAAATATATACATACACTGGCAATCGAAAGTGAGTGCATGGTGTTTTTTATTTAATATTTACAATGGTTTTCAAGTTAAAAATTGTTTGTTATTTTTTTTATAAAAATATGGTTCATGCTTTAATTAAAACCACCTAAATAAAACTTTCAAACTTTAAACAAAACTTAGAAAAATTCAACGAATTTTCGTCTAAATTTTGACCTTTTTATTCTGAATTTTTTAGAAAAATTTTGATTAGGCAGATAGATCGGTTTTTTTAATTCTTATAAAACCAGAGATTTTTTATTGCTGATGGCCTGTTGATCCTCTTACCATATAGAAGAATAAAATGCGCATAACCGTTTGCAAACAAAATTAAAAAAATTAACGCTATATTTTACAAATTGCACTTGTTTATGAATAAAGCCGCAAAATCCGTCAGAAAAATATTAATTAAAATTCAACGCAATTTTTAGCCGCTTAAAACTTGATCTTGCTTCACTTGAATTAAAAACCCGATCTATCTGCGTACTCAAAAATTTTCTAAAATTTCAGATTAAAGAGGTCAAAATTTAGACGAAAAATAGTTGAATTTTTCTAAGTTCTGTATAAAGTTTGAAAGCTTTACTTATGTGGTTTTAATTAAAGCATGAACCATATTTTTATAAAAAAAAAAATAACAAAAAATTTTAACTTGAGAAACATTGCAAATATTAAACAAAAAAACACCATGCACTCACTTTTGATTGTCAGTGTATGTATGAATACATGTACATATGTGTATATGAGCGATATGAGTCATATGACTCACAAATTGGCTGTTGTGTAAACAGCTGTGTTGTGTAGACGCTCCAAGAAATTCATGCGCTCGTCGTGAACGGTGGTAAAATGTGGCACTGTAGCCGGTTGAATCTGAGCTCCACGCGCAACTTTTAGCAGATCTGGTGTGATATACGATGCACTAATTGCCACAATCGGAATTTCTCCGAAAAGCTGTGCCACCGCTAGCAGACATGATCGCCCATACGTTGCATCAAATAAAATCAAATCGAATGGCTCTTCCACTCCAGCTCCCCTAGACAATTCGATTAACTCTTGTAGTCCGCTGGAGGCAAGTACACTTTGGCAGATTCTCATCTGTTTATCGTACCAGTGAAAGACGCGTTCAAAGGCACTCAGCCAAGTGTTCGCAAAGTATGTGGGCGGTTCATTAGCATCCAATGTTCGCTTTACTTCCTCCAAATGAATTTGCACAATGGCTGGTGACTTAACCGCAACTCCTCTACTGCCACTTACAACTGTGAGTTTATGGCCGCGATCGATGAGGCCCTTGTAGATGGCGTCGTGCCTATTACGAAATTTTACAATATAATCTATAAATAATAACACACTTCGCTAAATTATACCAAATTTGTTGATCCGGCGTTGTTAACACCTCCACTAAACTAAGAATATTCGCAGTATTTGCTATGCCAGCGATATGCAAGAGCGCCACGATTAGGCTGACTATATTTGTGGATCTCATTGTGTGTGCGATGCGCGTAATCGCCCGGTAAATATGCACTTTGTGGAATCCGCTGAACAACTGAATTGTTTATGAATGCCGGTGCCGGTGTTTGGTGCTGTTACTTACTGGTGGCGATTGCGGTCTAGTAGATATAGCATAGGCCGAAGGTTGTGGAACATAAAGAGAGCCTATCTTATCGGTTTTTGAGGGTCGCTTATGGAGTTAATTTGTATTGATAAGAAACCGCCTGGTAAGTTGTGAGTGTGAGTGTGAGCGAGCGGGAAAGGGAATGCGCGATTTAACTGACAAAGAGCTGCAGAAAGAGTTTGACGACGGTGGCATGAAGAGTCAGTTAGTGAAATTACTTAAAGTTAATTCGAGAATCACGCCTTGCAGTACTCGTCCAAACACAACAGTTATGCGAAAAAAGAGATCAGTGTTGTTACTAACACAGTTATAATGTAAAAACAGGGTTATCCAATATCGCACTCGAAAAGTATGTACATATGTAGGCTCGAAAGAGAACAAATTTTAAATAAGAAATTTGTAAAATTTTAATTTCATTTAATCGATGCTTTTCGCCATTTTGGTAAAATAAATGCTTTCATGAGGTCATTTTTGTTGACTTTTGTGACCAATTAATTGCCCTATTAATGCTAATTGAATGAAATTTTTCATTCAACCCTGCTAAGTATATTTAGTTTTGGCGAGCAATCAAATTTGTGTTTCTAATCCTCTTTCACAGCTGATATTCCATCAGGGATGGAATATTTAATTATTAAATTGTACCTGATTTTCGGAAAACTTTTCCTGAAAGAAGATAAATGTACTTAAAAAGTAAATATGTGCTTTTATATGTATGTATATTTTAAAGAAAATGTGGCGATAACTTTTCCCGTCGTCACCATACTCACATTCAACAAATTTGGCCATGAAAAGTATCTTTTAGAGCAGTGCTAGACAGAACTATGTTGTGTTAAGGTGAATCACTTTCCTCCCAGTTCTGCGATCTGACGTTTTAAAAAGAAATATGTTTCGTCTATCTGGCGAAATCAACTACAGATATGTTTATTTGACTACCCTTCTGTATAATTTGTATGCCCTTCACAAAAGAAGGGAAGCTATTGGACAAGTTACCCACACCTGCGAAGTTATTTCGCTACGTTCCAGACGTACGCGAAATGGTTTCTTTGTACCGGAAGACCGACCTATCTCGGCAGCCAGTTCGAAAACACCCTATCTCAGAAAACTTTTCAAGAACGCCCTATTTAAGAATTTTATTGAAAAACACCGTATCTCAGAATTCGGTTCAAACACGCCCTATCTCAAACGAAAATACATTGAAAATGTGCTGAGATAGGGCGTTTTCGAACCGAATTCTGAGATAGGGTGTTTTTCAATGAAATGGAAATAACTAAATAGGAAGAAAGAGAGAAAACAAGTTTGCTAAAAATTAAATATGCAATAAGTAGATTACAGCTAAATTGTATGAGGCCTATGGCATAGCCCAGCTTTTTTTTAAGCTTAGTTTATTAAAAACAACTATAATTACATTAAAAAATAAATAAAAGTAATAATTGAATGAATTGAAAAATTCAATGAAAACTCTACTGGCCGTGGAAATTGAACCATTGACCTTGCGACTTGTTGATTCGCGTTATTAATCCCGATCAACACTGGCATCTGGATCTTCTACAAAAAAAACATTCGGAGTGTATTTCTACACCAAAAGATCTCGACTTCTTGTTTAGGATTATTTAACAGTCGGTGACAGAGGAGTAAAGTAAACGGAGAAACCTTCGCTTAAATTCCTTCTTAATGCTGAATGCAATGTAAAAAAAACACCTGCTTTCCCGACATATTTTTTAGATATTCATCTGTCGAAGCACAATTTACAACTCTGATACTCACCCTGTACACATTTGTAGCATTTGTCACTCTTTAAAAACGATTACCATTCAATGCCATGCAGCTGGGAAATAAGAGAAAAAACTGCAATTTTACTGTGTTTTAATTTCGCAATATTTATTACAACATTCAAGATTTGACATTTTCTGCTCATAACGGAGGTTTCCTGGCAACGGATGTCCATTATTTATATTCCAATACGTACACATACAAATAAGATACATATATGTAATAAATGTGTTGTTTAATTAAATGTTTCCACTAGTGAGTTAGTCGAATATTAGAGTTATTAGAAGCCGAAGGAAAATTGACTAAATTACAATAAACATCTATTGGCCAGGAAGTGTGTGTGGAGAAAATATATTTAATCACGCTTTGTTTTTAGTAATAAAATTATAAGACTATAAATTGTCACTCGATTTGCAATCATTTGTCAATCGATAGCGTCCACAGGTTAATCGCATCTAGCTTTACATTAACATAAATATAATATACACATACACATATACACATAAATAAGTTTTGTAAATTAATTTTAACGTTTAGTTTAAAGCTACAATTTAAGATAAATTATTTCAACTAGTACTATTTATTTAATTAATAAATTTAATTATTAGCTTTTTATGTGTTTTTATTTTTATTTTTTTTTGTTTCCCCTTTAAATATGTTAGCTGCTTTGTGTTTATCTTTGATTTTTGTTAATATGGCAAGATTAATACATGAAAGTGATACCGTTAGCTACATACATACATAATTAACTAAGTAATTATTTATTACGATCGTCGTATTCGTTCGACACCCCAGTATACTCCCCAGTTATTCATTGTCAGCTCACAGCTGTTGCATTTCGTTTAAAAAATAATAATATTTTAAATAAAATCACACTAATACAGTTACAGATACATACTCGCACACACATATTTACACATGTGTGTGTGTGCTCAATATACAAACAATACATCGCATTTAGGCGCACATCTTTCACACCCCTTCGCAGGCAATAATTGGCGGCCGATTCCATCTTAAATCTCGCATCACTTCTTTTCTTCACCTCTGGCAATTCTTTGGCAAATTTGTTTGCCAGTAGTAATTAAACGTAATTCTAAATAAACATTTTTATTTTGCTAAGCCATCACTCCAAAGTCTCTCCTTTGTCTTTGGCTAGTTGATTGCTGCTTTGGGTTAATTGGTTCCTGGGTTGTTTGATGTTAGACTTAAGACGGCGTTTTTTTGTAAAAATATTTTCGCAGTTTGAGAGTTCTGTTGCTTAGCTTCGCAGTTCCGCATAGCTGCGACTTCGCTTCATCTTAGACAGCTGCATCGTAGGGAGTTGCTCCCAGACCCACGTATCGATTATTGTTTCTATGGACAAACCCACGGCCGGGCGATGCATTGTAGTAAACAACTCGCCGAATGCCGAAGGGATCCACATAGCCAAAGCTACCGGCTCGCTTGTCGTCCCCGAATTGTTCCTCCTCGTGATATTGGCGTGGTAGGAAATAACGGAAACCATTGGCAGTTGCACTGACTCCATCGTACTCCGCGGGCTCGCTGGCGCCACTGCTTAGTGCTGCCGGCCGGTGACGGCGACTCGGCGGCGGTGGTAATGGTGGCAGCAGTCCACCTTCGAGCTGATTGATCTCCAAGGCATTAGCCGCTGCGTCTGCATGTGTAGGCTGCGTTGCGGATTGTTGGTAATAATATCCGCCGTTCGCGTTGGACCCACTTCCAGCTGTGGCTGGTACAAATGGTGTGGGTGAAGAATATCCGTAGCTGCTGGTTGCTTCATCGCCCGATATAGCTGCCGGTTTGGGATCGTAGACGGCAATCGGACGCAAGCGTTGGCGAGTTGCACCTTTGTTGAGTAAAGGCGGCTGCATGTCGAGCGATGGTAGAGACGGCGCCGCCACGGCTGCTGCGGTATTAGTTATTTGATTATAATCTGTTATCGAATTGCTAGATGGAGTTTCGTAGGAGTTTACACTCGGATGAATATGCTGAGCATGGACGCGTCCACGATGCAGAAGACGAGGCAGCTCATCAGGATAGTGATCGAAACCGAGCTTGCCAGATGGCTCAATATTGGCAGCCTCGGCTGGAGAGAGATAGTTCAGTTTGCCATCGTAAGCTTCTGAAGCTGGATCATGAACCACTACGGGCGCACCGATTGTAGGCGGCAAAGGCGTTGTAGTGGTGGTGGAGTAGACATAGCCGGTCTGCTTCGATTTTTCGATATGAGTCACGCTATTCGATGGATGGAGTCCAGAGCGACCATTAAGAAGAACGCCGGACTGGGCTGGCACAGATTTGGTTGCTTTGATGGCATCCTGAGGGTACAACAAGAAAGCGAAATGTTAGTATATATATCACTTGGAACCAAGATTGTGGTTTTGCTATATAAATATATAACTAACCTCGATGTGTCTGCCATTGCCAACAAAGACGGTTTTCGATTTTAATATGCGGTAACCATCTTTATCAGCGATGTAGTCCTTTTGACGCAGATATCCAGCGGCGTCTATCCAAGCTTCGGTGCCTAAATGGGGAAACCGTAAACGATAAAAGAGGGAACTTAAGTTTTGTTTCTCGGGTTTGCATTTTTCGTAATAAGATCGTACCTACAACTGTACCGTCTTGGAGACGACGTTCCTTACGAAATTGTCCATTGTCCGTTTGGAAGCGAAAGTACCGCTCCGGTCCTTCATCCGTTTGTATATGATATTGACCATCGCCCGGCGAACCCCACGAACCTTCCACAACAGTAGTAAGGGAAACCTGAAACAGATAATAGCAATTACGTTATCATCTTATAGTTTTTACAGTACTAAATAAATATGAATGTTCTAATGGATGCCTGTTAAATGTGGAGTGTTGTGTATACATAAAACCACGGAGCTACAAATGTGCGCTGTTAAAATTATATTTATTCCATTTTTAACTAATTTTCAAAATTTTGATTTTATGTGCAACAAGTGATGACCGTGTGGTGGTAACTCTGCAATCTTCGGATTAATGCGTACCGAAGCTGGCTCTGATTGGACCGTTTTCCCAACACCTCGCTTTAAATGGTGAATGCGAAAGTGACAGCCGCGGAAACAGAAGACTGTTCGAAGTTGGATAACGGATTTGGAGATATCAGAATATAACATCTATGGCCACATCCTTAAAAGGAGTGCAGAATGTCTTTCGCTGGGGAGTGCGGAGATTTTTTAATAATTGCACTTTTCAGTGCGAATTCTCAGAATATATAGTATTTATATGACACAAACTTTTGATGGCCGCTATATGGCGCTGGACTCCAGCAGCTGGAGTTAAGACATTTATTTGAAATATCGTTCATGGCGCGATTTGGTTGCTTTTTATGCCGGAACGCACTTGTTCACAATCGGGATAGGCATAGACAAATGTATACATACATAAATGCTCAGAAATAAAAAATAAATCGATTAAACCAGGAACCGAGCATAACAGTTATTGATGAAAACTGTCCTTAAAAAATTCACTAAGAAAGAAATGTTATACAACTAAGTGATACATATCAATCAATTTATTTTTGCATCGAGAAGCAAATTTGAAAATAAATTTTTATTTGTAGTTTTTATGAAAAATTAAAAAACGAACAATTTTATTTTATTTTTTTTTTTTTTATAAATCCAAAATAACAATTATTTTTGAATTTTATCTGTAAATAACAGTTGTTTTAGATTTTTATATTATAAGTCGTATATATTTTTTTTTTATAAAAATTATGAATAAAAATCAGTCACCGACTTTTATTTTTTAAGTCATACGTATAAAAGTTATCATCATTTTTCGCAGTTAAGAAGGTGCTGGAGTATAAAAGTTTACTGCGACTTATAAAAGTGACTTTTAACAGAATGATTTTAAAAATAAAAGTCAGTGACGGATTTATATTGAATGACTTTTATAAATAAGGAGTAATCAAATAAAAGTAAAAAAATAACTGTTGAAGAGTGATTTTTTAAATAAAAGTTAAGTTAAAAAGTTAAGATTAAGCCCTGACTATCCGTCCGTGCGTCCACTTGTGCAAACGATAACTCGAGCAAAAATTGAGATGTCTTAACGAAACTTGTATTTCTTTTGAGTTAAGGACAGATACCACGGCTACCTCTCATATAACGGTAATTTAGATAATTACGAAATCTTCGATAAATCAGTAAATACTGAAGCGATTTGACTCGAAATCGATATTTGCCATAAAAATTTAGCAAAAAATACGTTTATAACAAATTTTTTCAAAATGGGTCTACTTATGACCACATTTATGCATCACGGTAGCCGATCCTTCAATTTGTTCCAAACTCGGAATGATTAACTTGTACTTAACACACAAAATTTATGAACGCTAATTGATACTCATAACAATCTCTTAAAAATAAATACAACATACTATCAGAAATATTTGAAATTGGGGTAAAACCACCCCTGCTTGCCATGTAACGGTACCCTACAATTTAATCATATCAGCATAAATATTTGTTTCGATCGTACGCTGCAGTCTACCACTGGGTTTTGTTTGAGCATTGCTAAGTGACAAATGCTTTTGTAAAATAAACAAAGCCAAGCGAACCTTTGGAATCAATAAACTTCAGTTAGCAAAAAAGCAATAAGAAATTTTAAATGAAAACAAATTTGTATCGTTTTATAGTTTCTCACACGCGTAGCATTACCAAGTAAACGCGCAAATGCCTGCCAACACTCACCATGCGTCAATAATTTCTTATAAGTTGGCGCGCTACAGTCGTGGTACGCGTGCTAACGAGCCCGTGTTCCGAGAGAAACAGGAACTCTCCTACACCGTCCGCAAATCGCTGGTCGACTGCGTTCGCGATGAATTACAGCAACTATCACGTCGGCTATTCTACCAACGCATCTACATACTAGCGAAGAACAATTTGAATGTAGAGCCCCCGTCGTCGCGAGTCGAGGAAGCCGACTTCAAGATATACCTTCAAGCGGAGTTAAAACGGATTTTAAAGCTCTTTGCCGATGATAGCATTTCGGGTGATAAGCCCACTGGGTGTTTCATATACATGGGCGATTACTCTATACTCGTGTTTGAGTGCGTTGAAGACATTGTCGGCGGCTTCTGTGCTCATTTAAGTGCAATTGCTGATAAATATTTTCAAGCCAACAAAGTTTTCCTCACTGAAGATCGCACCGGAGAGGTAAGTGCCAACGCAAACCAACATTCCAACATTCCAACAAAAGAAAATGAGAATTGTGACTCTTGCAGACTTATTTTCAAGCGTTCCATAGCCGACGGGCAGCACAAATTAACATCAATGAAAAGTTTCCAGCCCACACAATAACCGACATTGAGCTAATGGTACAACAACACTTGACGATCAAGCAAAAATTGCACGAGCTATGCGAAGGACTGGCGGAAAAGGTGCAGAACGAACTGGAAGTCTCTATTCACCCAGCCACATCTTCGCTGAAAGGTACTACAGTTGCTCCAGGGAGCCGCCTCACTCTCGAAGCGGAAGAACTCTTGCCAGCAAATATATTCAACAGACTTCTGCCCGAGGTGCAGCGCATTGAACTTGTGCTGGCGTGCAGCCGATTCTACTGCAGCGTGCAACGTCGTGCACTTATGTACAATCGCATACCGGTTGTGTTGGATACGGATTTGCTACCTTGGCCCATACCATACAACTACACTCCGATTGGCGTATTTCGACATAGCCCGTTCGACGTGAATCTCACATTTTCGGACTATGGCAAGAAAGATGAAAAGGACGAAGTGAAGAGTAGCAGCTCAGAGGGAAGCGAGAAAAAGGGTGAAAATTCACCAGAGTAATTTTTGAAATAGACTGGAGCAAGATTTAACCAAAAGGCTTTGCTCATCCAATTTTTCTTCGCATATGTAAAAATCTTGAATCAACAAAAAAAAAAAAACAAATTAAAGCTTTAAATGCATTTTTTATCATCTTTTCTACGTTTTGAAATCAAGTTCTAAGTAAATTTTTTGAGTGACCTTAGAGTAGGTTGTGTTGAAAGTACTGTCAAATAATTTCCGATTCATAATTCAAGTGTTTGTTATATAGTAGAATTCATCTGCTTTTAATAACACTATGTTATATATTAAATTGTGTGAGTGATTTTATCTATGTTATGAGTATTATTAAACAGTATTGGTCTTGTTCCACCCGTAACAAAAAAAGCCAACAATTGTTAATATTTAATTACAAAAGTTGAAGTTTTGTTTGGGGTTTGTTACATAATGTTAGAACTTCATTGCAAATGTTTACCACAATCGCATTTTCGTTTTCACATTGTTAGTTAAGAATAATTCAACAGTGAAGCGTGTCCCACCCGTGACAGCTGAAACTATAAACATCTGAGTACTGTTTCTAATCGTTTGACAGGGTACTGTAGTAAATATCGTATGTATGTATGTATGTATGCATATATTATACTTGTTGAAGCCATATTTTTTAACTTTATTTTAAAACAAATTCGGAAAAGTATAGAAACATTCGCTTTAGCATTTTCAGAGTCAAATAAAACTATAATGTAGAATAAATGTACATACATATGTATATTTTTACCAACTTAAGTGGATACATAAATATGTACATATGTAAGTAAATATATTAACGCGGAATCAGCTATACATACTTTATTCATTTACCTTACTTTAAGGCCATGCACTTCAATATTCTTATTTATTTACTTGTATAACATTTGCCATTAGCAAATTGCCACTGGATTCTTGTTCGCCCACAGTAACTGAAAAAAAACGTGTATTGTGGTTCCTACCTACTACTACCAATGTGAAAAATACGGCCATTATGGCGTATCAGCTGCACCACCAAGCATTTACCATTAATTTTATATCTCTGAACAATCGTTTTTTTTTTATCTGTTTTTATTTTTTCCCACCAACAGTGAACGATTTTATCGCCTGTTTTCAAGCATTCGAGTTGAAACAATTTGCTACCACACACACAAATGCAAACAATTGCATCCGTCCGTTTAATGGCGAATCACTCATACGACGTGTATTACTCTACGCAACTCAAGATGTGACAACAAGCGTCAAATATTTAGCCATACACAATTAAAATATGTATATAGTATAATGAAACATGCTCGATCGGCCATTCACGCACCATTAGGACTCACTCAATCAACGCGGCGGCGCTCATCCACTCAAATAATTTACCGTCAAATGGCCATTCATTCACAAAAATTATCCAAACATGCCTCTTTTCGCTACGCTTCATCACTTATTGACCACATACTCCATATGTACATATGTATGTATGAACGAGTATATTTGTACGCAAGCAATGGCATCTTGATTGGTTATGGTGTGACGTCAACGTGTCAACAAGTGGATAAGCTGCTTTGGAAGATGCGGCCAATGGCAACAACAACAATCACAGGGTCGATATCAGCCACAATGTTTCAGCGCTCGAAAATGTAAACAAATAAAAACCGGCAGCTCCACAAAACTATTTCAGCAAACAAAAAAAAAATCCGAAGTGGATGAGCTGCAAATGGCAACACACAGAGAGGCAGATGGGATGGCAAGTGCAGAGACAGAAGCGGCGGAGATCGAAGCAGCCGTTGCGAATGTAAACAAAAAGCTTGCAGACTTTATGGCTTTGCTGTAGCGAGTGTGGTTTGTTTCTTTGTTGTTGTTGCTGTGATTTGCTGCTGTTGACTTTGGCCATTGTGGCTTCGAGGCGCCAGCGGAAAACAAGAAACGCTCGATTGGCGCACGAGCGTCAAATAAAAAAAAA